GTAATATAAAAGAAGAAATGGTAGCAATTTGGCAGGTTTTCTGATCAGGCTAATGATAGCATTTTCTGAAAGTGGAATGCAAATTGCTGTGATAATTACATTAAAAAAAGCCATGGCTCTGTATTCTCACTCTTCTGCCATTGATTAAGAACAGTTTAGCTCAAAAGTATATTGGAAATTGAAAGATGTATCTCTAGAACCTAGGATATATAAAAGAGCTAATGTTCTTTTTCATTTATCTTCAGTTGCAGACTAGCTGTGTAAATTAAAAGCTTGTGAGTGATGGATAAAAATGTTTCTCTTAAACAACAGAAGCTCCACTAATGATTTCTGTCTTCACTGAATATGTATTTACAAGTATTTGTAAAACAGGTTTTGTAGAAGGACAAAGTGATAAATTATATTAAAAATCCACATATTGTCTAGGAGTCTTATTCTTACTTAAGATGTAAATGATTTCTTAACTGACTATTTTTTATTTTTAGGGATCATCTATCTTTATTCCTCTGGGAACATAAAATAGTTTATCATTTTGTCAGTTGTACTGACCATCAACTTCTGTCCTCTAATATCTCAGCAAAAAAAGAATAGGAAATATATGCTACAATTTATCGGAGAAAGAATCTGGAATAAGCTACAGGCTTTCAGAAGTATTTTCATGAAAAGCAACCATGTATTTTCTGAGAAATTCATCTCATAAAATGGAAAGAAAAAAAGAAAGGAAAAAGAAAACCAAGGAATAAGGGCCAACATGACTTATCAACTATGTTGTGTATCCTTTCACAGCCAACTTTGTTGGACTCTCTTCATTTCATTTCATTTCATTCACACCACAGTGGTGAATATTGAATTTTGTGGCCTCTGTTTTTCAGTGTCATTTTTCTGCCTATTTTCCCAAGAAATGTCTCCTGCATTTATGTGGGAGCACTGTTGATAACTGCTACAAATTGCACCACAGTTATAGGAAAAGGATCTTGAAATATGAAAATTGAGTGTGAGAAAAGTTGCAGGAAGATTATTGTGACAGATTGTTCAACCAGTCAAGCTATCACCCAGAAAAAAAAAAAAAAGAAAAAGAAAAAAAAAAAACCACTCAAAAAAACTCAAACCAACAACAAATTTTTAGTCCCTATTTCCTAGTTGACACCCAGCCATTTCCCCCAAGGGTAAAGATTTGAAGCTGCCACTATTTAAAGCTGTTTCACTTCTTGTGAGAACACAAGAAAGAAGTGCTATAAAGACATCTTTCAAATGATAGAAATAAATAGTATGGTGAACATTACCCTTTTCCTCTGTTTTTTAAAATATGAGATACAAAATATACCAAAATAATTAATTAATTGACTAGAAGAAGTAACTAAGCTCTAGGTCAGTTTAATGATAAGAATGTACAGTACACTGTGTTCAGAAAGAAAAGCTTGAAATGTCCATTTAAATCTGTTATTTTGAAGCAGGCATAATTTTATGCCTTTAGGATGCAAGAAAAGCTCTTAGGAATTCTGATGTCAGTGTTTGAGGGAGGAAAGAAAGCCTGCTGCAAGTGCCCACACCTTTCTCAAGGTACTTAAATTAATTAAAATAAAGGTTCAATTATATTTAAAATATCCCCTTTCCTAAGCTGTAATAAAAGTACATTAAATTTAGTTGGAAGTAATTTTAGTAATTAAAATTTAGTTGGAAGAATGGACAGTCATGTTCTCATTCTGCTGTGGGGAACTAACCTAAGTGGATTTAATATAACCCCTTGTTATGCTTTTCTTGGTGTTTTCTGGCATGACAGACCAAGAGCTGCTGCGCTCCCAGGCAGCACCAACCTGCCATGGACTCCCACGCAGCCAAATCAAGTCCTAAAACACAACCTTGGGCCGCAGCCCCCGGCAGCACAACACTCCCCTGTGCAGAGGAATGGAGAGCTTGTGGTTGCACCCTGCTCCCAGAGGACTCTGAAGAGGTGACAAGAAGGAACAAAGCCTGGCTCGCTGCGCCTGGGAGTGCGGCACAGCACAAACACAGGCAGGAACACCAGAATGCAAAACAGGAATGCTTTCTCTTTCATGCCTTTTCCAATTACAAACATCTAAAACGTCCTGCTTAGGCCTCAAATAACTACTGATTTTATCTGTTACTGCTTTCAAAAGAAATAGCGACACAGAATGGCAACATTTTCTTTCTATGGAACACATGACTTGTGCAGTCCTGAGTGCTGCCTGGTGCCCGTACAGATGCACAGATGTACACAAAATTTATTTGCACAGTCAATACTCTGTCCTGTGAGAGAGATCAGAAGGGAGAAGAGCCTAGCTGCTTCAAGTACCTGTTCATGTTGGTATGCAGACAAGTGGGGAATTCTTTTGTCCAGAATGTAGGTATTTAAAAACGCATAGAATCTACTTTAGATTACTTTCCCACTTCAGGAGGTCTGGATGATAGTCTCTCAGATGTATCCTATCTGATACAGAAAAGTTTCAACTGAAATATATGCTATCATTATGATGACCTCATAGTAAAGTCAGTATTTTTTAATGTTATTTCTCAACACAATGTCATCTATTTTAAGGCAAAGGCCATATTGGTCCTGTGGTGTGCATGTTAGATGGTAGGAAAAATGATAAAAAGAAAGGTCATGGCAATAGCAGTTTGATGAAAAATGAATAATTTTATTATTTTCATGGTGTGGATCAATAATGCTTTGCATCTACTGAAACACATTGCCTGGAGGCACTTGGATAATCAATGGCATAAAACAGAGACTGCCTTTACCCAGGCTCACAGCCTCTCTTGATCTTTCTGGGGAGGACCCTTGACGCCTCTAATTTATGTCAAGTGCATATCAAAGAAATTCCAAAAAGCCTGGCTCATAAAGAGTGTTTTAGTGGTACCCATTTGAAGTCTACTTACATATGTTCCTTATGTAACTGTGTTTAAGTACTTTCCTTCCAAATGCCTGGGAATTCTTAGAAAGACATAAAAGCTACCTGGAATGAACATAACAGTCAGTACCTCAGAAAAGGAAGCTTGGTTAGATGGGACAAATCTTCAAACCTCTCCATTGCAAGCTGACAACAGTACAAAGATGAGAATTTTGGCCAACTGGGAGTGTAAATAAGCCCTTCTGCACCACCCAAGAATTCTCTTTAATTGTGTGCTGGACACTGACATTTTTAATTTAATAGAGCAGCCACTGGAAAAAATTAGTTCTGCATGATACTGGGGAGAGACAGTTGAGAACACAACTTTGTTCAGTAATTTCTCTGTTCGTTTGCAGTGGAAAAAGGGAGTTGGCATCTTCTAGCTGCCAAAACCCCCTTAAATCAAGGATACTTACTTCATTCTGTCTGTGGAGTCTGTGGAGCTATTCTTCCCATCAAGGCTTTGCAAACAAGAAAAAAAAAATCCCCAGTGGTAGTCCCACTACTACACTGTTCACTGTAACACTGTTGACGAATTTCTTAACATCTTTTAGCTACCATACTTTGAATACTTGCAGATGCACACACACACTTGCAGACACACAGTCAACAGCACTTTTCTATCTTCCCTAAAGCTTTCTTAAGTAATAGTTTTTTTTCTTTTAGCAGTTGACTTCTGTAATGCAAAAGATGCTGTATACGCCTCCAAAGAACTAGAAAAGCATTTATTTACCAGCAATTAGAGGAATACAGACTGTAGTAAGTGTCTACAAAAACGACATATAGTTTAACTTATGAGGCAGTAAAGCTTGTTTCAACATCAAGGGCATTGATTTTCTATAGCAGTTAAAGACAGGATAAAATTATTGCACTTATTAGATTGTTGATTGTTCAGCATTAGCTAAATTCACAAAATAAATACATGTGGGTATTTATTTGGGTCAGGTCTAATTCCCAAGGTCAAGTTACCCTTTTAACATTTTCTAAGTACATAATCTTAGCACAATCCATCAAAGAGATTCACACACCCTTTTTGTCTGTTGGCTCTTATAAAACACTAATGTTTAGGAGATTAGAGTGAACTCAGCTTTGATAGACAGAGCAATTCTTCCAAAGTGCTCAACCTCCTTAAAAACTAGAAATTGCCTAAGGCTGGCTTTGCAAAATGCAATTTCTAATTTTACCACTGACCTGAACATTATTATTCCTTGCCATTTGAAATACTGTGTTTTGTCACTGTCTTCTATAGTGCACTGTGAAGGATGCAAGGTAATGGTTTGGAGCACGATGTTTGTTAGACTAAAACCTGTTTTTCCATAGAGTGTATCCAATCAGAAATCCACAAGCCTGAGAGATGCTTATGATCGGCATCACAGCCAGAAATTTTGTTGATAAGGGCTCGAAAAGAAACAATTCCTGCAGGGTTATGTGAAGACTTAAGGTCAGAGATTCGGGACTTCTCATGATTTTTCTTGTAGCTATTTCTACTGCGTTCCCTGGCCTCTTGATCTTTCTTCTAAACAGGAACATAATTTCTGAAGGCTATATACATGGTGAAGTGGATATGGACTGCCTTCTCTTTTTTTCTTCTAATGATAAAGAGCTAAACCTTACAGACATCCTTACTATTCTCCAAGTATAAAGCTACATAGTAAGAAACTCAGTATTTTTTTCTCTTTTTAGCATTATGTTAACTCACTCTTGAAGTAACACTAAATATTTTTTTCCTTTCTTTTTAAGAAACAAAGTAGTCTGTCACAGTTATGATATGCCAACCACTTTCAGACAAAAATATTCAAAAAGTGTCAGAGGGCAGATTTTACAAAAAACTTTTGTGAGCACCTCAGTCTGTGAGTATAACCTACAGGTGTATTTTTAAAATCTACATCAGCAAACATTTATAATGCTCCTTCTAATCCTCTGTGTGCCTTTTGAGCTGCCAAAGTAAACACAGCACACCAGAACAGTTGCTACAGTAGTGAATACTGAACATTTTTGTTCAGAAGAACATAAATCCTGCTGCCTCCTTCGCACACACAGGAACACTATCACGCTTAGAATCAGGCACTAACTCAGGCAAAGGCTCCTTACCCGATCACATCTCATCAGTCCCAAGTATCGGAGGGATTTGCTGCGCTGAGCAATCTGGGTGGCTCCACGGTCCGTGATCTCCTTGCACCACCCAACATCCACCGTCTCTATTGTCATGCTGTACCTCCCAATGGCTATCAGGGCTGCAAGGACAGGAAAGGTATGAAATACACAGCTCTGCAACCTCAGCTCCATGCACACGCTGAATAATGCTGAAATTGAGTTTTGAGAAGCAGTTCTCGTGCACTTTGTAAACATTTATATGACATATGACAATATATTTCATAATTCTCAACAAAGTAAAAACTGTCTCTTCAAATTGGAAGTACATACATGTCCAAACACACACAAACACACAGATAAACATATTTTGCTATATATTTTTCTATCAATCAAGATAAATGGACCAATTAGCAAACATTATCTATACAAATTATTTTAATTACTTTTTTCAGAAGAAGAAAGGATCAATTATTAAAATTGAAATAAGTACAAAATATAACCAATTCTATCTCACTTTTCAGATAAAATAACTGACTTCATACTACTAACACTTTTTTTTCCAGGAAAAGAATACTACAAAGACAGCACTGAGATTAACAGCACATTTTGTTAGTCAATAAAACATAGTTTTAGAAAACCCTGCAGGAAATTTCCTGCCATACATTCTACAATTACATTCTAAAATTGTATTTTTTCTCGTTGTTCATGTTGGTGATGTAAGAACAATGGTGTGTCTCACTATTACTTTTTCTTCACAAACACTTTTCCAGTTAAAAATAAAGAGTTAAAAAGGTCATAAGGAATTAAAGGAAAAATTTGAACCTTTATTAAAGGAAAACAAAGAGGATCTGGAAGTTCTGAATGGGCTGAAAAAAGGTAGGAGAAAGACAAGGGATCTGAACTGACCGGGAAGGTTTTGTCATGATATGGCAATGACACAGAAGATAAAAAATCACTGGCACTCTGGTTACCATGGACTATAGCACTTTTCAGAAATATGGACTCAGGAAGTCAAGCTGGGATTTATTAACAGAAATTTCAGCAGCTAAAATCTCAGTCTAAGAAAAAAGGCCATGGTTTCTGCTGTAGAAGTCAGCCACCTGCATATAATCAAGGGGTAGGATGTTCACACAGTTTGTAACTCCAGTTATAAGGCAGCTGAAAAGGAAGATGAAGGAGTGACTTATTCCAAGTAATGTGTGTATCTTTAAAGAGTTGATTTTTCAGTAGCTATGGGGTTGTTCTGTTCATGCTACATTCCCAAATGTCAGGGGAGAAAAAAAAAAGAGGAGTTACAAAGAGCTGGTAGCTCTTGATATACAAGATATTGATCATAGCTAATCAGCATGTAAATGAGATCTAGAAGAACAAAAAAAGAGCCCACCTCACCTTCCAGTGGATCTGTTGAAGAACTGTATTGCTGGTGTACAGCAGTGAGGGTATTTGGATTATTTATAAATATCTAGCTGGACCTGATTAGCAAACAAAACGAGCCATAAGATGCCAGAAACATTCTCAGAAGCTCTGGAAGGGGAAGTAGTGCATAATTTCTGTCTTGCAGCAGTTTTCCAAAATATTAAGTGAATTTTATTACTGACATATTGAATGTATGACAAAAGCACCTATGTCGTTTCTTTATGGTTTCACTGATATTTGTAGGATAATACAAATTTCCTGGTCTCTTTCCAGTACACCTCTTGAAAAGAAGTCCTAATTTTGCAAAATATATATATATATATATATATATATATCAGAAAATAAACTTTGTACTTTTTTTAGACACCTTTGAAAATATCACTATAATAAAAAGTATGGATAGTCAGAACCTTTCTGAATATATTTTTCAATAGGAAAAACTATAGTAATTATAGATTATTGTACCTCCACTCAAAATATTATAGACCTGAAGTAGTGCAAAAATACTGAAATCCTATTTATTCTACATTAGAATAATATAAGTTCATTTGAATATTTTGCCACTGTTTGTAAAGTTATAACCATAGTTTGCTATTTTCAGTGCTTCATGTAAAACTGACAAAGAGAAGAAAATCAACAGAGAGTATTTTCATGGAAGTGCCACTAAAGACCATCAGAACACACTGACAAAATCTGTCCCCATATTAGCAGACATCTCTCTGGAAAACCAAATATTTTGACAAGAGCATACAATGTTATACTGAAGTCATATACTACTACAGTTTATCTATCTAACACCAAGGTATGCCATTTGAAAACTCCAGTGACCACATTTTCTGGAAATTTCCATGTGTGGAATTGCACCCATACAAGAACACTCTGGGTTAGAGAACAGACACACTCTGCAGTTTTCTATCAGCATTCAGCAGTGGGAGATAAAGAAAGGCCATGAGAACCAGTGAAAATGTAACAATAGTTTTCTAGAACACTTTCCTCACATGAAAAATATGGCCAGGGATTTTCTAAACTGGGGTTTATGCCTCTGTACTCTCATAAATTCATCTGATCGGTCTTGTAGCCTACAGACATAACATCTATAATATCCAGTGGCAAGGAATCCTGCAGTTCAGGATTCTTTCCTCTTTCAAAAATCACCTTTCCTTGTGGGAAATGTTTCCTGGAAATCCCAACAGACTGTATCGACCAGGTCTTTATTGCTTCCTGACTTCTCCAAAGTACTGAAGTACAACTTCTCTTAACAAAAGCTGTGTCAACTCTTCCTGGATACATTGCATTTATTTGCATGTTCACTAACTGCATTTCATGTAACAACTAACTCACCTTATACAGACACCAGATTCATCAGTAAATATTTTTCTGATCTTCCCAAAAACATTTTTTTAAATACTTCTGCAAGGCAATCCTGTGGTAGTAGGCAGGTTTAAGTGAAGGATTACATAGTGCAGATAGGAGCTTGGCTATTTCATCCTCAAGTTATTTTATTGAGTACACACACATCTCCTGCTTGTATGAGCAAAACACTTTAAGCCACAAGTTTCAGCTAAGAAAATGTTTGCATTGCTCAACAGCTTTTCTTCCTCTGTGCATTTGCCCACAATAATCAGAATACATTGCTATTCTTCAAAAGCTGGACAGTATTTTAATGAGGACACACGCAGCAAAATGCTTACAAAATGAAGTTTGAATTCTGTGACTTGAGAACTTGTAGCACAATCAGCAGTGAATAGCCAAAAGTGTATTTCAACACTAATGACAGCCGGGCTTAAAAACATGGTCAGCGATCAAAGGGAAGAACCTGACACACTGAAATTAAGTAGAGAAGGATACACAAAAACACTCTGAGTAGTTTGAAGATGTTGGCTTTGACATATGAACCTCTCTTTTTTTTTTTTTTGAATATTTAAAAAGGTATCCAATTATTTTTCTCCTTTTTATAGTCTCATTTATTTTGGCAAAAGCAAACATACCATATTTCTTTTTGCAGTGCTAGGTTTGTGGAATGAAAATCAACTGATATACAGCTCCTACTCTGCAGAAGAGAAAGTGTAATGACTCCAACTGGAATTCGAAAATCACCCCTACTGCCCTGAGCTGTATCAAGCAAAACTGGTTTTTTAGTTGTAATGGTACTTGGCTATTGACGTTGAAAGGACCAGGTTTGTAGAAAAGGGAAACATCTTCTGGATGATCAGCTGGAATAGCTGAGAAAACAGACAAATTCTGTCCATAGTGCACTACCACTAAGAGCAAATTGTAATTTAACCTCGCTTTATTTTAAACTGATTAAATTAAACTGACACATGTAAATGCATCTGCTGCTACAGACAGAAATGTCTGTCAGAGGGAAGGTCTTCCAGCGACTGCTGGGTGGGTGTTGGCATCAAGTCTAAGGTTGCTACAACAGAAAAAAAAAAATCTTTGCTATAAGCAACTGATATTTGGCCTACTCTTATTCTGAAGTAATATTTATGTCTGGAAAAAAATACCCCAGGTTTTGCATAATATTATCAAATACAACTTTTTGGAAACCTGGTGCATTGAGCAAAATTATGTCCAATTAAAAAATATTTTTTAATGACATGCACCTACTGCACTGTAGTGTCCTCCTTAATCAATAAATTCTATTTCAATTTAACTGAAAATAAACCTTTGTAAGGCTTAACTGTGTTTCTGTATTCTTCCTGTTATTACCTACAATGTAAATGTACAAGGCACTTCATTTGGTTCAGTGAAGCTTGGACAAAAAACCTTTTAAAAGTTAATTATGATTGGTGTCATCCTTACCAGAGCATTATAGACATATATGAATTAAAGCAAAAATCATTTTTGCATTGCTTTCTTTTTTTCATTATTGTCAAAGCACTTAAGTGTGCAAGAATTAGAATTCAAAATTTCCAATCTCTCTAAGGGTTTTAGATAGAGGAGAAATCAACTGGTCAACCAAGGACTACTAAGAAGCAGTCTTGTTATAGAATTTTTCATTATAGTTTTATTTTTATATGTATACATTATGTAACATACATATATAATTTATATTTATCTATTAATACCTATATAAAACATTAATTATACAAAATAACATACTATATTATCTTTTAATTTATTATATAGCCGAAAGGCATTAAAGGGGGTTTGGCAGTTATCTACTACCTTCTGGGGAGCCTAATTTATAAAAAAACTTTAGAAGTTTATGAGAGTTAAAACTGCAATAAGCAGATGTAATAAAAATAAAATTAGCAGAGAAACCAATACATTCAGGTGTTAAAAATATGGTGTAACAGATCAGCTTAGTGGATTTTGAAATAATCTGCTGTTGTTGGCATTACGGAGTTACTCTCATTTGCCTGAGTTATTTAAAATATGAGTGGACAAACCTCTGGAGAGAGAAGAAAATATTCTACAAGATAGACCAAAAACAGGCAGCCTAAAAAGTCTTTTCTATCTTTTATTTATGTTTTTCTATTGAATTAGAAACAAAAGATTAAGATGAAAATCATCCAGGTAAGTTATAAACATCTAAATTCATGAAAGTTTTAACAGTCACCAAAATTATTTTGATATTTCATTTAAAGTGATTTGTGGAAAAGAACTTAAAAATTAGACAAACACTTGAAAATTTTAAAATACTGTTGAATATTGACAATACACAATACACTGCCATCTGATTTTAATATATTACTATATTTACAAATAGAATCCTTAA